GGGGGGCGCGGCGGGCGGGTGCAGGCTGAAGTCGGGGCGCGCGCCGGGCCAGCGTGTGTCTGCGCGGCTCTACCCCTCTGCCGCGCCCCGAGCCCCGCCCCGGCGGCCAAGCGGCTTCTGTTTACTTTCGATCGAGTTTTTCCTGCTCGGGGCAGGTGCCCGGGCGGCTCCGGGTGGAGGGTTGCGCCCGTCCCTCCCGCGCCGCCCTTTGCGCGCGCTGCCTGCAGCCGGGAAGGGCGCGCGCCGGGCCAGCGTGTGTCTGCGCGGCTCTACCCCTCTGCCGCGCCCCGAGCCCCGCCCCGGCGGCCAAGCGGCTTCTGTTTACTTTCGATCGAGTTTTTCCTGCTCGGGGCAGGTGCCCGGGCGGCTCCGGGTGGAGGGTTGCGCCCGTCCCTCCCGCGCCGCCCTTTGCGCGCGCTGCCTGCAGCCGGGAAGGGCGCGTCGGGGCGACCGGTGGCCGCGGCAGCCCCAGGCGTCTGACGGGCGTCCCGTTTGTGCCCAGGTGATGACGGCGGCGGCATGGAGTTCCCGGAGCACGGCGGGCGGCTGCTGGGCCGCCTGAGGCAGCAGCGCGAACTGGGCTTCCTGTGCGACTGCACGGTGCTGGTGGGCGACGCGCGCTTCCCTGCGCACCGCGCCGTGCTGGCCGCGTGCAGCGTCTACTTCCATCTGTTCTACAGGGACCGGCCCGCGGGCAGCCGCGACACGGTGCGTCTCAACGGCGACATCGTCACGGCGCCCGCCTTCAGCCGCCTGCTGGACTTCATGTACGAGGGCCGCCTGGACCTGCGCAGCCTGCCTGTCGAAGACGTCCTGGCTGCAGCCAGCTACCTGCACATGTACGACATCGTCAAGGTCTGCAAGGGCAGGCTGAGGGAGAAGGACTCGGATCTGGAGACTAACGCCCTGGGGGCAGAGCCGCCTGGTCAGCCACCACACCCCTTGCCTTCCTGGTCCCCTGACCTCTGCCCAGCTGCACACAAGGCTAAGCCCCCGTCTCTAGGGGTCAAGGCTGCCCTCTCACTGCCAGCATTTGGGACTCCTCCTTGGCAGGTCCCAGGACAGCTAGATGGGGCCCTGGACCTGTCACTGAAGCCTGGCCCAAGACCGGAGCAGGTCCACCCACCTTGCATCCTCCAGAGACCCCTCTGCAGCTGGATGCAGCAAGGGGCCCAGCCACTGGTGAAGGCTGAACAGGACTCGCTGTCTGAACAGGACAGCAGTAGCCCCGGGAGCCGCAACAGCTCGCCAGCCCGAGCCTGTGTTCCTGCAGCCCAAGGCCTGGCAGTGGGGGTGGAGCCATTGCCCATTCGAGGAAGACAGCAACTTGGGCTGGATGCAGAGCCAGTGGCGCACACCGAGGAGCTGGGTCCCAGCAGGCACCTCTGCATCTGCCCACTGTGCTGCAAGCTGTTCCCTAGCACCCATGCACTGCAGCTGCATCTCAGCGCCCACTTCCGAGAGCGGGACAGCAGCAGGGCCCGGCTTTCCCCTGAGGGGGCTGTGCCCACATGCCCACTCTGCAGCAAGACGTTCTCCTGTACGTACACACTGAAGAGGCATGAGCGGACACACTCTGGGGAGAAGCCTTATACGTGTGTGCAGTGTGGCAAGAGCTTCCAGTATTCACACAACTTAAGCCGGCACGCTGTGGTCCACACCCGGGAGAAGCCGCACGCCTGCCGATGGTGCGAGCGCCGATTCACACAGTCTGGTGACCTGTATCGCCATGTCCGCAAGTTCCACTATGGCCTGGTCAAGTCCTTGCTGGTGTGATGTATTTCTCTGTATCCCCAGGGTAGAGGTAGGGAAGGGGCAGGGCCTCCCAGGTGGGACTCTGGGACAGAGGAAGTAGCCTAGCCAGTGGAAGCCCCACCCCCAACTTAGAAGGCTCCACCTGCCCAGCCCGGTGGATGCTGCTGCTTCCGACATAGGTTGCTTTCCCCTGCCTCCCACCCTCCACCTTACTCACGAACCCAAGAGTGCCCTGCCCAGTGTCCCCTCCAGCAAGGTTCTGGGAGTGTCTGACCTACCCATTCATTGGCTCCTCAGTGTGAGGTGGCACAGTTGTCCTCTGCCCTGGGACGTCCCTGACCACCCTGCTGGGATGCTTGAGGGTGTCCTTGTGGACCTCCTGCCATGATAGAATGACTCCCTCCTCAAGAGTCATTAGTATGAGTGCCCGACAGCGTGCACCAAGTTAACAGGCCACTTGGTGAGTGGCAGCAGGAGCCCCTGCTGGGAAGGCCTGGGGCACAAGAAAAACCAGCAGGGACCATGGAGACACTACTGGCCTTGCAGGGGGCACAGCCCCAGAGGGCACCTTGGGGCAGCATGAGGGGGGTGGCAAAAGCTGGGTGGCCCTAGAGTGACTGTCACTGGGAGGAAATGTAAATGTAACTTTGGACAGAGGAAGTGGGAATTTGGAAATGGGTTCTCTTTAGATCAAGAGGGAGCCTCCCAAGGCCACATCTGTCTGCTGCTGGGCGAGGATCTTCTGAGCGGTCCCCTGCTGGGGTCACATGGCTGGGAATGGCAGCCCCTGCCATAAGCCAGGCTCTGCACGTTGGAGGCTGCTGCTGTGCTCCTGTGGGTCTGGCCCTGGGGGTCACTCTCCTGCTTGCTAAGGGTCTCCCTGGAGCTGTAGTCATTCCCAGATGCCAAGTACAGGGCCAGAGGCTGCCCTGCTTAACCGGAGTAATGTTTGCAATGCCATCTCCTGTGGTGGGTCATGGGTGGGAGCAGCTGTTGCAGGGGAAAGGGGGAGGCAGGCACCCCCTCCATCCACAGCCCTGGAAGGCTGGCACCCTGGGAAGGTGAAGGACTACACCCTCTGCCTTTGCAGTTGCTGTGGGTCACCTTGCTTTGCCCACCGGTTCCACAAGCAAGTCTTGCTGCTAGAACTTTAATGGTTTCAGGAAGAGGGGGGTGGGGTAGGGGTGGCCTTAGCCTGTGTCAGCAGGTAGCAGAGCTACCTGGACACCTGGCTTCTCCCACCACCACCACCACCACCTGGGCTGTCTCTGCTGATTGCAAGTAGCCCAGAGAACAGAGTTGGACTGAGTCTAAGTTATTGTCTTCTAACACTTGATGTCGTATTTATTCGTCTGCTTAATCTGGACTGAAGTGACAGTTGGTCTTCCCAATGATGGACAGGTCTGTTATTCATCTCCCCATGATTTCTGAGCTTTCCTGGTATGTCCATGGCTCTCATGGGTGACTGGTACCTCTCAGTGGTGCTCCAAGACTGGAGGCCCCGGACAGGCTGCAGTCCAGATAGTGGGGAACAGGGAAAGTGCCTTCTGATGTCTGGCTCTAGATCTCCACCTCTGGAAGGGCCAGCAGGACCCTGTGATGCATACCATGTGGTCTGTCACCTGGAGTTCGTTCCTGTGTGCGTGTGCGTGTGTGTGTGTGTGTGCACACGCCTAGAGAGAGAAACTACAGGTAAGCAGGCATAGCACTGCTGTGTTGGTTTTCCCTGAGTACTTTTCTGGGGGCAGGAAGTCTGCCCTGAGTTGTCAACACTGGACTCACTGTCTTCAGTGTACAGTTACTGTGAAGTTAACAAAGAGAAGTGACCCACTGTAAGTTTATAACTGGCACGGTTCAGTTGAAATGTGTGTATATGTCTGACACACTACTTGTGTGGCAAGCATGGACGGGAGAGTGTGTGGAGACAGGTCCAGGTGCAGCTTGCTCTGTGGGGTCCCCAGGGCCACCCCAGCCACTGCCCCACCTCTGGTCTCACTGCTCTCTGCCCCTCGAGTGGCCCCTGGGAAGTGACTCTAGAAGACAGTTCTTCCCACTGAGGTTTGGCTTAGACCTTTGTTTGCACAGCCCTGCTTGCGGTCAGCCTGTGCCACTCCTTGAAAGGGGTGCTGTCTTCCAATTTCACACGTCCTGGCGTCACGATGGCAGTGTAATAAAGCCACCACAGGTGGACATGGCCATGGTTATTCTTGGGGACAGGAAGGGCGGGCACTGCTGGGCTGGGAGGGGGTGGGCAATCTAGGAACTCTGTCTCAGATACCACCAAGTGTTCATGCCCCTAGGTCAGGGCTGGTGACAAGTGACACCTCTCTCCAGGTTTACCCTCACTGCTAGAGTTTGTGAAAGGGGGTTCCAGGGAGGCGGGGTAACATGAGGAAGGGGCAGAGTCCTGGACCTGTGGTCAAGGTCTTCGGCCTCCTCCAGGTCTTCCATCGGCAAACCTTCGCCTGCCCCCACTTTGCTCTTACTGTCCCATTCACACCTCCTCCATGGAGGAGCTGGGCTGACGGCCTTCCTGTCTCCCTGTATTCCCTCTGGGCCCTCTAGTGGATGGCTGGGCTCCAGGCTGATGGTTTGAAGACTATGCCAGCTCCACTTCCCCTCCCTGTGCTGGGCGTTAAGTATGGGTATAGATGGGCCCCTCCAGAGACTGGCTGCTTTCTTACCAGGCCCTGGGGCAGGTAGAGCAGATTGGCCTTGGTGTGTACCATCAGCTTTGTCTTGCCCAGGCCAAGCTCCAGGGCAGGCAGGGTGGGGGCTGTGCTTGTCCCAGGGGCCACAAGGTCAGGCTGAGCTGGTACAGGAAGGGCTTGCTACTTCCTGGGCCAACTCCTGCGGCTTTCCCAGTTCTGGCCCCAGATGCAAGTCCTGGGAGGAGGTGCCTAGCCTTCCCCTGCCTCCCACCAAGACTGGATGGGAGCCACTGTCCCACAGGAGGTCCTGTCATGTTCCCAGTTGGGCCCATGACTCAGCCCAAGCCTTCCATCTGGGAGGAGAAGCAGCTGTTGCCATGCCAATGGGGAGGAGAGGACGGGGTCTTGTACCCTGGGAGAGGAGACTTCCTGGGGTTCCTCTGGCCCACTCAGCTCTGCCAAACTGGGTTTGACTATGCTGCCAGCCCCATTCCTGGGCAGCACAGGCCTCTTGGCACCCTCCCTAGAGGCAGTCCATCTGACCTCTTGCCCAGATGGTAAACTGAGTCATGGAGAAGGGCTTGGCAGTGGCTCACAGTTTAGCCAGTGCATGGCAGGCACCTGGGACCTGCCTGCCTCCCACAGCACTGGAAGCCTCAGCTGTGAGCCATAGTACAGGCCGCAGCTTCCCAGAGACCTGGGCCCTCCAGGGCACTGGTGCTCCTCAGGGCAGCGAGCACAAGGCTAGAGGTGTGCAGACATGTACCAGATGTCTCCCCAGGCACGACGACCTCCCAGAAAAAAAGTAGACCACAGAGTGAGGCTGGCCCAGAGCAGAGGTACAAGGAATGAGAGGTCATGTGAGAAGACGGGGCCGTGGGGGCTGCCAAGATGACCCACAGTGGAGGGCACGGATGAGACTCTGAGGAACAGGTGTGAAGCAGGGGCCGGCTACTGCCTTCCCCCACTGCCCAGCCCATGCTGCAGAGACACTGAGCTGTCCAGCGTCCACTTGGTTCTATCCCCCTCGAATATTCATAAATAGCACAGGGTGTTTCTACAGATGCTCCTAAGGAACCCTGGACAAACGGTGCAGGTATGACTGTACCCTTGACCTTCACAAGCAGCCATGAGCACCAGGCCTCTCTGGTCTATCACTTCTCTTCCCCACCACAGTCTCATCTCCAGACAGCCCAGCCTGCGTGCTCACTGTCACCATCACCCCCACTATATCTACCACATCACTTCAACTACCTCCACCAATACCATCATCACCTCCATCACTGTCTTCACCTTTACCATCTCTACTACCACCCACCACTACTGCCATTACCACCACAACCTCTATCACTCCACCATCACCTCTACATCTGCCACTGTCTCTACAATCTACAGCCACCACCACCATCACCTCCATCACCCCATCACTACCACCATCACCTTACCACTACCATCACCTCCACCACTACCTCCACCACCACCATCACCCCCACCACTACCACCATCACCCCCACCACTACCTCCATCCCCCCCACCACTACCACCATCACCCCCACCACTACCTCCCTCACCCCCACCACTACCACCATCACCCCACCACTACCTCCATCACCCCCACCACTACCTCCATCCCCCCCACCACTACCACCATCACCCCCACCACTACCTCCCTCACCCCCACCACTACCACCATCACCCCACCACTACCTCCATCACCCCCACCACTACCTCCATCCCCCCCACCACTACCACCATCACCCCCACCACTACCTCCCTCACCCCCACCACTACCACCATCACCCCACCACTACCTCCATCACCCCCACCACTACCTCCATCCCCCCCACCACTACCACCATCACCCCCACCACTACCTCCCTCACCCCCACCACTACCACCATCACCCCACCACTACCTCCATCACCCCCACCACTACCTCCATCCCCCCCACCACTACCACCATCACCCCCACCACTACCTCCCTCACCCCCACCACTACCACCATCACCCCACCACTACCTCCATCACCCCCACCACTACCTCCATCCCCCCCACCACTACCACCATCACCCCCACCACTACCTCCCTCACCCCCACCACTACCACCATCACCCCACCACTACCTCCATCACCCCCACCACTACCTCCATCCCCCCCACCACTACCACCATCACCCCCACCACTACCTCCCTCACCCCCACCACTACCACCATCACCCCACCACTACCTCCATCACCCCCACCACTACCTCCATCCCCCCCACCACTACCACCATCACCCCCACCACTACCTCCCTCACCCCCACCACTACCACCATCACCCCACCACTACCTCCATCACCCCCACCACTACCTCCATCCCCCCCACCACTACCACCATCACCCCCACCACTACCTCCCTCACCCCCACCACTACCACCATCACCCCACCACTACCTCCATCACCCCCACCACTACCTCCATCCCCCCCACCACTACCACCATCACCCCCACCACTACCTCCCTCACCCCCACCACTACCACCATCACCCCACCACTACCTCCATCACCCCCACCACTACCTCCATCCCCCCCACCACTACCACCATCACCCCCACCACTACCTCCCTCACCCCCACCACTACCACCATCACCCCACCACTACCTCCATCACCCCCACCACTACCTCCATCCCCCCCACCACTACCACCATCACCCCCACCACTACCTCCCTCACCCCCACCACTACCACCATCACCCCACCACTACCTCCATCACCCCCACCACTACCTCCATCCCCCCCACCACTACCACCATCACCCCCACCACTACCACCATCACCACCACCACTACCACCATCACCCCCACCACTACCACCATTACCTCCACCACTACCTCCATCACCCCCACCACTACCACCATCACCACTACCACCATCACCCCCACCCCACCACTACCTCCATCACCCCCACACTACCAACAACACCCCCAAC